GCAATGGAACGCTGGCAACAAAGCTCTGCCCGATCAACACTATCCAAGTCAGTCATTTGTTATTCTCCCAGTCGATTACTAACAAAAACCTCATGCTTTATGCAAAACATTAAATGATTTTCAGCACCAATCTGTACAGAAAACATAAAAGCCCTAAAAAACTGCACATAAAATATATTTAAAAATCAATATTCACTTATCACTTAGAGCAGTAGTTCCCAAACTTTTCAGCCTGACCAACAGATGTTCCTTCTTATTGTTATGTTATTTAGAAATTTCCATTATATTTGGAAAGTTTTTATTTATACATAAATATATAAATCTCTTTTAAAATTTTATATTTTACTCTTTTTATGATTATGTGACACACTGACTTCCATACATAACGCATCGGCATCTGCCTCTTTTTTACGGCTTTTTTTTTACATTGTCGCTACGTCTGTCACTCTAGTAGTGTTTTACCATAGTTTCTACATCCATCACGTCCCAGAGAAGGTTAAACAAACATCAAACCCAACGTTTGGAGCTTATAAGCTCCACACACCTCTCATGCAGCACCAGCTGTCTGATGCTGCAGCAGCGTCAATCGTCCCGGCTGGATGAGTGAATTTCTTCATCAGAGTCAATATTCTGCTTCATAATCAGAGTCAGTCATTACCAGACAAAGTGATCAGTCAACAAAGACCAGACCTGCCGGCAATTATATGTTTTATCTAATATTTACGCTCTTCATGCTGCGCACATCTCCTCCTCTTCCCGACTGGGAGCCTCACGGCGGGAGGCAGGGGCGTCGTACTGGGGGGAAAAGTGGACCTGACTACCCAGGGCCCAAGAGGGGAGAGGGGCCCATGATTCCCTGCCCCGCTTTTATTTAGAAAACATTGGGCCCCCTTTGAGTGAATTTGTTTCATTATATTGCTGTTGCCAACTAAAGATGGGAAAATAGAACCAGACGTTATGTCAGTGTTCGTTTTCCCCAAAGGAGGACCCCCCCCCCCCCCCCCCCCCCCCCCGGAGACGTAAAATGGTTTATTCCGCTCAGCAGCAGCGACAGGCTGCAAGTAGCAAGCCCAGGCAGCCCAGCCAGACCAGAGTAGGCTTGAGGCATTATCACGTTGCCCAAAAAGCACCAATCAGGCCATCAGAAAAAAAAACTGAGAAGAAAAGGAAAGAAGGCAAGAAAAGAGGCGACAGCTGTTGACTGCTTTCTGTCCAACAGGTGAGCTACTTTGCTACTTGTTGTTGTGCAAAGTCCCATTCAACTGAACATAATTCTTTAGCTTTGGTAGCTAGCTGCCAACTTTGTGGCTGTAAGCATAAAGACAGCTAAACCTTATGGTTTACACATACCCGTTCTATTTTGATGGCAGCCTCAGCTCATTGTTAAACATAAATGACCTCCATTTTGAAGAAAATCTGTCAACATAATAATCAATGTTTGGCCATATTTTTTAATATTTTTAGCAGTTATGCATCAAATTGGCTTACAACTTACAAAGGGATCTTGCATTAAAAGTCAGGTTGGCATGTTTGTCTGTAAAGAAGCTAATCCCAGTTATTTATTCTTGTAGATGTAAAGAATTCAACATCAGATGCTGAAGGCAAGGAAGGTTGTGAGGAAGTGAGACTAGGTGAGCTGCTCATTGAGACAACCTCAGGTTATTTACAGCAATCTTGTGTATCAGTAGTTTGAACTGAAAGAAGTAGCTGCCAGTACTGTTTCTAAGTATGATGTACATTTACGTGTAAAACTATAGACAGCTTTAGGCTAACATACCGCACATGTGTTTCATATTTGTAGATGTGTGTAAAAGTGAGGAGGCAGGGGGGAGAGAACAGGAAGGACCAAGACAGGGAAATGCTGAGGAATTGTCAGATGACCCAGGACTGTGGCCAGAAAAGCTAACTGCTCAGGAGAGAGTCTAGTTTTCAGACTGTCTAGAGAAATTGTAAACTTGACCAAAGTGGCACCCAAAGACAAGGAAGGCAAAGAATTCCCCAACTACCAATGTATTAAGTCAACCAATGGGCAGGAAAAGATCAGGAGGGACTGGTTGGTATATAGTGAGAGTGTAAAGGCTCTGTTCTGCATCCCATGTGTTCTGTTGTCTCATGAGCAAACAAGGCCATCTAAAAGTCCACTGAACAGCAAAGAGGGACTCCGGTTATCTGACATCAAGTGGCAAAAAATGTACAGGAAGTTCCCAGAGCACGAGGCACAATTGTACTTATGGGTGGAATATCCCTTTAAGTATGAGAAATAGTTGGCAAAAATCCATATATAACTGACTGTTGTATAAAACCGTACTTATGCCTTATTTATTTATTTATTTATACAAATAAAACCACTTTTATGTTCGTGTGCCGAATGGGGCCCAATGACATTGAGAGTGTACAGGGCCCAGAATGTGGTGCTACGCCCCTGGCGGGAGGCGCTTTTCAAGCTCTAAAAACTCCCAAACATTGCTCAGCCTGAAGGTTACACATCTCCACTATCTTCTGGTGTAAAGTATGAACTTCATGAGGATCATACTTGTAGATGAGACTTGTTAAAGTCAGCAATGAGGCTTTGGTGCTTTTAACAAGTAAGTCCCAACACTGACAACGTACTGAAACTGGAACCAACATGCATAAACAGACAGATCGGTCCCGCCTACTTACACTGTTGGTCTTTTTTAAATACGCACTAATCGTTGCCTTTTTTGCTTCATCCTGCATCCTAGCAGCAACCACTTTTGCGCCTCTGGAGTCGGTGTTTGTTTACGTCATGCTGCATTCAGTGTAATTGGAGAAAGGAACTTCAAGCGCTTAACCTCCGATTTTGTTTTCTTTCTGGCCTTAGTGCGGGGGACGGATCGGGGTCGATCTGAATCTGGGGGGACAGATCCCCCCCGTCCCCCACCCTATCTGCGCGCCTGTATGTACGTGTATATATATGCTATACATGTCTTTATTTGCAGGTCTTTAATATGGGGCTGTGACTTGCCATTAATAAGGGCCATTTTGAACCCAACAAAGTTTAATTTGCTAAGAGGATCAAAGAACAGTTTCCAGTTGTAAAAAAATCCCTTTCCAGGACACATTTACCCAATCAATCATTACAACAATAAATAAACAACAGAAAATCGATTAGTTTTGAAGATGAATGAAGGGGAATCGCTTCGCCGACTCAGGCCAAGTAATCCACTCTGTCTGCAACAAGTCCTCATTAACCTTCAGTAGCTCTCACTCAAACATTTGATCAAGCTCTTTAAAAAGGTGCTTGAATAAGAGCCCTAAGTCTCATTCAAAGACCTGATTATTGTTATTATTACGTGATAAAAAATGAAAAAAAAAAATCCTGCCGATTCAACAGAAGATCACGTTAAACACAGCAAAGGCCAAAGCCTCCACACTGACAGGATAAAACATCAGACGTGCTGAGGTGTTTCCATTTCCTTTGTAACCTAAAGGACTGACTGGAGCCCTGGCATCAAAGCACTAAAGATAAATCAGGTGTCAGACGTTGCTTTGGATACTGCAAATGAGTTAGACCAGCCATTAGATTAATGACCTAACAATTAAGCTAATAACCACAACAAAACTCAGTTGGTGCTGCGCCTGTTATAGCCGACTTTGATTTCATTTAAATGGACAAAATACTGTAAATGTACGGAGTTCTCTTAAGCGTCAGCTTTCTGAAAGCTTGATGGAACCTTTAGGGAATGCTGACTCTTTTAGTCAGAGCTGAATGTCTCCACGGTTCTCCTAAGTACACTCAGTCATCTTAATGTAATAATACTCATACAGCAGGTTCTCTTCAGCTGGGAGAAACAGGATGTAAAAGGAATCCAGGAAATCACATCGTATCATTTCTAAATCATTTCTTTGTATAATTGTGCAAAAAATCAGCATTTACTTGTTCGACCATCAGACAGTCAAACTTCAGCCATGGCCGGGATCAGAGACAAGACTGGACACCATGGCCAGAAGGTGAACAGAGAGAATGTGTTTAGAAAAGGAATCCTCTGGGTCCAACGTGCTTCCTGCTTCATAACAATATTACGTTCATACTCATTTCAAAGTTAAAGTATAAATCCAACCTGCTACGTATAGTTTAGTGACTCGCGGCAATTGCTGAGAGGTGCAGACTGAACCCTCCAGTAGCTGCAGGACCTGAGTCCCCAGCTCAGAGAACACCCCACAGAAATATATCAGGTCAAGATCAGGCACACCTTTCCTCATTCTGGCCTTGTGCAAAAAACATCACACACACACACACACACACACACACACACACACACACACACACACACACACACACACACACACACACACACACACACACACACACACACACACACACACACACACACACACACACACACAACTCTGCAGCGAGGCTTCTAACTGGAGCAAACAGAAGAGCACACATCACTCCTATTCTGATGTCTCTGCACTGGTTACCCGTTAACTTTAGAGTTCATTTAAGAATCCTGACTAAAACTTTCATTGCTCTACCTGGTCAATCTCCTCCCTGTATTACTGAACTGTTAAAGCCTTATGCTCCAACTCGAGCCCTCAGGTTGTAACAGCCGTAAGTATGTGGTCTCTTTAACCCTCCCACTGTCCTAATGTGTGTGACCCCATGAGGAAAGGTGACTATTGAGCAGGGTTGATGGTTTATCCCTTGAGGTCCACGTGGCAGGGGTGAGGTGGTGCTCACTCCTCACCCCTTTTTTAAGAAGCGGCTGGGTTACAGCGTTCTTAAAGTAAGCAGGGACCTGACCAGAAACCAGAGAAGCATTAATTATAGAGAGCATGCTGGGACCGATGAACTGAAAAGCACTTTCAAACAAAGATGAGGGTAAGATGTGGAGGGGGCATGCAGAGGTCTTCAAAGAGTTAACTAGTTTGGTTAACTCAGGCAAAGAAACAGGAGCAAAGCTATCTAGGATGATGGGCCTGGCTGGAGTCGGGAGAGGCAGCGATAAGGCTGAAGGAGAGATGCTAGATCTAACCTTATTGACTTTGTCCACAAAGAAAGACAGAAAGTTCTCACAATCTGCAACAGAGTGGATGGAGGCTGTAGGAGAGGCAGGAGAGACGATGCTGCTGATGGTGTTAAACAGCACCTTGGGGTTCCCTTTGCTCTGGGACACCAGGTTGGAGAAATAGGAAACCCTTGCATCTCTGACTGCAGAGTTAAAGGATGTCAGAAGATCCTTTAGGTGCAGCAGATGGACGTGGAGATGGGTTTTCTTCCACAAGCGCTCAAGAGTTTGAGTGCTTGTGGAAGTGTGGAAAGGGAAGGATGCTCAGTTGCAGGCTGCTTTTCTGTAAAGGGGACAGGAAAGAAGGAAGGATGAATGTTGATTCTCTAGCCATCATCTGGGTTCCTGTCCGAGGTTGCATTACAAAGTATTGAGGTGAACTTTTGTTATTGACCAAACATGTATTTACCAATAAACAAATACATAATTAACAAATCATACAATGTGATTTCCTGGATCTTTATAAGCATTCTGTCTCTCAGATGAGTTGAACCTATGATGAAAATTAGACCTTTAATATTTTTAAGTGGGACTCACTTTCTCACACAGTCTCACAATGTTTCGAACATCAGAAAGTGGAACTGCTTACTCCGAAGTCGATCCACTAACTCTAAACGACTCACTGAAGAAGTGTGACGATCAGAAGAAACTACCAGTTACTGGCCCATTTTCCTCCCAATGGGAGCTGGGCGGTGGACTGAGGGACCTGAGAGTCTCTGGACTGAGAGAGACACAGAAGATGCAAGGAGACTCACACACTGATGAACGGAGAGGTTGTGGGAGGAAGAGGAGTTTCCTTTCCTCTCATGTTGAGATGTGTCTGAATCTGAATAAGAATAATAGCTCTGCCTTGAGTCGGTCCGGTCCAGCACACTGGAAGCCAAAAGCTTCTCGGGATATGTGACATGAATCAGTTAGTTCAGAACCGAGCGTCCTAATCCCTGCTCCTCTGAGGATGTATAGGATTCCTGACTCACATCATGCCCTCAATCTAGTGTGACCTGCTGCAGGTTGCACGATGTATGAGCTGTCAGCAGTTTAACCAGAGTGACGTCATCCCTTCAGACAGTCTCACTCCAACTGCTACCTGATGCTGGGGGCGTGGCACGCTGCAGGTTGTCCTCCATCTGCTGCACTAGAGTGATGCATGTTTGCATCCACATCCGGGTCTCTGGGCCAACAGCAGGACTTTTAATTTGGGTCAGAAAATGATGAATACAATCCAGCAAAAGTGCTGACGCGGTTCTGTTTGGACCTGCTCTGGAAGTTGGTCCAGCTGGAGGTCGGTCCGCTTCCAAACCCGCTCCAAGCGCCGGTGCGCGGACAAAACAGCGTTCAGCGCGGCTGACGCGGAAAATAGGAACGGAACGCAGCCCGCCGTGTCGTTCCAGGAGATGCCTTCAGGATTCCCTCACACGCTCAGACGTAACACCATCTATGTCAACAAAAGTCTCGGGAAGAAACGCGCGTGCATGTGCGCGCGCGAGAGGATCGCAGCATCCAAACGGCCTGAGAGCTTACCCGGAGTTTTCCTTTGGTGCAGTAGGGAGGAGGAGGAGCAGGAGAACTCCACCGCTCTCCGGTCTTCAGAAGCTTCTCTCCATCCGCTGACTTGGGTTCATCTGCTCCTGCAGCAGGAGGAGGAGATAAACGGTCCTGCAGCCTCAGCGCATCCGCGAGCCTCCAGGAGAGGAAGAGGAGAGCCACGAAGGATGATCTCCTCAGCTCTGCAGCTCAGCTCCGACAGCACGAAGTCCCACCCCTGTAGCGCAGCCCGAACCGGCGGGACCGAACCGAGCCGAGACCTCTGCCTCCTCCTCCTGATGCTGCTGCACTGAGGAGCTGGATACCTGCGCACGCACGCACGCACACACACATAAACATTCACACACATACACACGCCCCCCCCCCCCCCCCCACACACACACACACAGGCACACACACGCACACACACGCGCGCGCGCGCACACACACACTACGCCTGTGCACAAATAACTTTAAAAATCTCTTTACAGATAAATAAACTACAGGATTCAGGAACTTCTGCAGCAAAAACAAACAAACAAATGAATAGATAATCTGTAATGTGAAAGTTACATTCACGTTACAGAATTTACACTCATGTTTATTAGCTCCTGCAGACTGTTCTACATACATGACCCCGAGTCATCAGCAGCCATTCAAACCTTTCGGGTCACAGTGCATTCTGGGAAATTGGGAGCCATTTACCTTCATCTGGACCATGGGTTCCCAATGGGGCCAAGAGCACCTGGCTGCAGACCTCCACTGTCAGGCTGCTTCCGGTGGAGGCTCCACTGTCAGGACAATCAGGACAGGAAATGCACGGGATACATTACAAAATAAAACAGCAAACATATTTACGGAAAACGGCAAACATACTTACACTTGTAATTGATAGGTTTCAATATAAAATATTACGCAAAATCTATCAATTATTTCTCTTAAGTTCATATGTAGTTGTCATTTAACATACAGTTGTAATTTTTTTAAATGAATTAACGAATGGCCGGGGTAGGTTTCAACACACAACGCTAACATAAGCTAACATACTTCCGGTCGTCATATTTCTAAATAAAATCCGAATGCAGTTTCGGTTGAATCGGTGATAATACCGAAAACCGTGATAATTTTGGTCACAATCATCGTGAGGTTAAATTTTCACACCGTGACAACCCTTGTTCAGAACCAGCAAATCTGGAGAAACGATTAGTTCTGATGGGAGTGAAGGTGATGTCTTCGCGATAAGCTTTGATTCGGAGATTCAGAAAAAACATTAGACACCATTTTTGTCGCTCCACAAATACCCTTAGAATGAGACCTCCATACAGATACAGACTGCCAGGTCCTCGAACCCCTCTTTCGGTACCGGTGTCGGTACAGGATCTGCTCGGGTGCAGGATCGGCTCGGGGTCCTTCGACTGCCGATGACGTCACATTACTGCAAATCTACTCGGCTTTCACACATACGTTTTGGAAAGACATCAGCAGTTTTGTTAAACCTAAATGTTTTCTTTATAAGTGTAATTTGTTAATATAACACCATATTATCTTTGTTTTGTAAAGAATGTGAAACTGCATAAAACCAACATCGGACTGACAAAAAATAGAACAGTTCTTATATGTGAAGCCATATCTGTTTGTATTAATGTGGAGTTCATCTGTATATTTCCTTAGTTGTTATCTAAATGCATTCTTAGACTCAAAATATTGCTTGGTGTCTTTCAATAAAGCTATTATATTTTATTTTGCCCCATTTCATCAACATCAAGAGCTTTTGAGGGTCACCGTTTATCATTTGCTTATATTTTACACTTCCTTTAGAAATTCAAACATATTTTCTCCAAAAAGTGTTGATTTTTGGACTACAGGACTACAACCGCTAAGACTACGACCGCAAATTTGTTCTGACCAATCAAAATCATAACGTGATAATGTAACTTCCGTAAGCTTCATGTTCAGCCAATCAACTACCTTGACGTCATCGGCAGTCGAAGGACCCCAAGCCGATCCTGCACCCGAGCAGATCCTGTACCGACACCGGAGCCGATGAAACAGAGTCAGCAGTACGACAGACTAGTCTTTGGATTGTCTCCAGGTAAAAAGCGACAGTTGGTTGACAGCATCAGATGGACCCGGAGGGTCAATGAGTTCAGCTTTTATTCTGAAATGAACCATTGCTTGGTTGGTAAAATGCAACAGATTTTATCCAGCTTGTCGTTGGTTCTTTCGGCTGAAGAGGAAAGTTACGGATTGGCCACCCTAACAACTTCTCTAGAACGCTTTGAACCGTGTTAAAGATGACGTGGGCATAGTTTTATACTTCGGATGATTTGGTTTATGGTCGAATGAAAAGATGAAAGATTTACCAAGCACCACCAAAACCACGCCTCCGTCAGAGCTGGCAAATTCTGATTGGATCAGTAAAGCAATGTGTCATGTCTTAATGCTACGTGTGATCAGTCTCTAGTTGAAACATTTAAAGTTATATTACTTATTATATTCTATAGGATTATAATAAAGTAATTAACATTTTCATTTCACAAATTGGTTCACATTTTATTATTGACTAACATTTTGTTTGATTAGCTTATTAAAAATAGAGTTCTTTGATTTATTAAAAAGAAAGAGTCCTTTGTCTTCATTCTTCTCTTGGGCTGGAAAGGAAAACTGTTTAGAAGCAAATGCATGACCTTGACGCAATATCTCATGCAGATTAGTTCTTGCTGAGGAGAGGGGGAAATGACTTTTAGGTGGAAAACAGTCATTTCATTCCGTTACACCAGTTTATGAAGTTCCCAAAACCAAACGTATGTAAAGTTGCAAATGACTTCCAGTTAACTCTATCCAAACCACCATGAATTTTCTTTAAAACGCTTCAGAAGACCAATGACAGAGGAGGACTGGATCTACCCAACTTTTATCATTATTTCTTAGCTAACAGGCTGCAATATATACCAAGATGACTGCAAGACAACCCACTAGATGAGTCCTGGTTAGCTGTAGAACAGACACTTTGCAATACGATGGAGCATTCAGACTTACCATTTATTAGCTCAAGCATAAGAAAATATGAAGGCTTTAAAAGTATTAATATCAGCACCTCTCTGGAAGCATGGTGGGAGTATCTAAAAATGACAGTCTTCACTAGTACCATGCAGACGCACAACCATCTGGAATAATCCTGTCCCCAAGTCCCATCTGGGAGGGGACTTGGGGGTGAGGTTCTGACTCGTAAGCTGCCGGGAAGAAGGCAGGAGCAAGCGGCAGTACATGGGCCTCAGGTGGACCTTGGCTCCTCTGGAATAATAACAACTCTGTTCCATCACAGGGGAGGGGGATTTCCAGGAGAGGAGGACCCAACCTTACCTGGATGTCCTATGTCTTATATATTCTGGAAGTTGTACAAATGCAGGGATGGGAGTTGATATTCTGCTGGGGTGGGGCTGGGTTGGTGCCCTCGGACTAAGTGAGGCTCTGCGATGCTGCTGCTTTGGGCGCTGGCAAGATGGGCTGGGGTCTCCATGCCCTGGGTGGCATTATGGCAGCAGAGGTGCCTATTGGGGCCAGTGGGGGTGCTGGCTCCCTGGAGGGCTTAGGCCAACCAGCCATTCCTCCCCATCCCCACACATTTTTCTCCTCCTGCTCCCTCACATCATCACACAAACATGCACATAGGACCTTGGGGGGGTAGACAAGTCAGGGGGTGGGGATATGGACTCCATTTCCACATTCCTGTGGTAGCCTGGCCCCCAATTTTATTTGCACCTTAAACACTTCCACCAACAACATTCCACGCAAACACACACTTCGGGCCTTGGTGTGCCCGGATGTGGGCACATTCAACGGCATTTGGCAGGGGAATTTTTCAGACTCATCCCGAGTGCCGGTGCCCACTTCCAATTTTAAACTGCACTTTGACACAGAGGGCTGTGGGTGCAAGAGGGGTGGTGTGGTGGTATCAGTTGGCGTAGGCCAGACAATGCCCAAACTGCCAGAACTCTGGGAACCGGTAATGGTTGTACCCCTTGTGCAGCAGTGCTGGGACCAGAGTGAGTAGAGTGTGTATGGGGAGCATGAGTGGGAGTCCGGCGTGCATTTTTGTAAGTCTTAGGGTGTGTGTGTATAAGCACAAGGGAGGGTGTGTGTGACTGTGTCTGTGTATGACTGTATATGTCAGGTGGGGCCTTTGCCTCCTCCCCTCTGCTGGGACTTCTTTTGATGCTATTCATCTTCATCTCCCCTCCCCCTGCCACACCTGGTGTGG